GCTTTTGAGTTGGTTTTTGAGTTGTATTATGCGTTTGCCACCCTAAAAGAGTCTTAGGGGTGGTTTTTTTCTTCGTTTTATAGACGTTTTTTTCCCTTTTTTTTCGTCTTTGGTTCAGGGGAAAACATCCAACTAAAAAACCGCCTGCGTATACGTGATAAAAAACGCGACTTAACCGTTCGTTTGCTTGGGCTCCACAAGTTCAACTGGTTCCACTTCTGCGCGGCGACTGCAGTTGGAGTGGAATGTGGAAGCAGAGGCAGCGAGCGTTGCTCGGCTCTCTCTCGCTCTCGTGTTCGTATTTGAAGGCTTGTTAGAAATGGGTTCCACACACACACACGCACATACACACGAGCGCATACCAATTGGAGTGGAGTGTGAGTCTCTCTCAATTTGAGTGATTGTAGAGCCCAACACACACGCACACATTTTATGCGCTTTAAAATTGTAGAGCCACAGCGTGAGTGTATGTGTGTGCGAGAGTGAGCGGTTGGGGGGCACTCGCCTGTGGTTCGCTCGTTTCGTTCGTGGGCTCCATTGTTGTGCCCGTGCGAGTGTGTGTGTGTTTGTGTGTGTGTGTGTGGGATGCGTGCGCTTGTTTGGGGTGTGGCTTAAAATTTAAATTTCGATTTCAAATGGCAATGTGTTTTTTATACGCTTGGGGATGTGTGTGTATGCATATTATTTTATGATTGGCGAGTCAAAAATGGGCACCTCTGGGTGTGTGCCGGTGTGCTGGTGTGTGTGTGTGTGAGCTATGTAAAATTTATTTTAAAGCTGCGTCGACGTCGACTGTAGCAGAATAGGGAGCCCCCTTGAGCAGCAGCACCACCACCCCCTCCCTTCTCCTGTTTCTGCAGCATTGTCGTCTTCTGATTTTGCTCTTTGTTCTGGCTGCCCTCTTATATTCTCTCTCTCTTTCTCCCTCTGTCGCTCCTTTTCGCATTTTATTTGCCATTCATGTATGCACACATGTGCGGAGCCCCTCATCCCTCCCACCTGCTCCTGCCTTGAGACTGGGGGGCGGGAGTCTTGCCTTTTTTTGTTTTTGCCACCCACTTGGCAGTGTTTTCATTGCGCCTTCTTTTGCTTTTGTTTCATTTCGTCTTTGGCAGATTTTCTTTTCTTCTTATTTTGTGTGTTGATTTTCATTGCTTTTATGATTTGTTTTTGATTTCTTTTGTGTTTATTTATCGCAAAAGAAACGACATTTATGGTGACAAAGATTGAAGAATTGTTGAACAAATAAAAAAAAATAGTTATGTTAAGAATCTATTAAAAAATAATAGTAAAAAGTTGCTACCTTTTGAATAATAATAAACACGACTTTCAATATTTTTTTTTTTTAATTTTAAATATACTATTTTTTGCTTAAATACTATAAAAAATCAAATTTAAACATGGATTTATTATTTATTTTTCCAACCTATTTCCCTTCTCCAATCTATTTTATGGAATCCCTCTCAGCTCTACTTCTCTGAATCTCCTTTTTTATGCATATTAAAAACAAATGTCTATTTTTATATTCCCAAGAACTGCCAAGACAAACGAATTATAATGAAAAAGTCAAATTTTCAAGGTGAGGACAACAGAATCACTTCTTCCATAAGAAACTATATAAAAAACTAGCCCAACTACCTGACCAATGCACAATGTACGAATATATATATATATTTTTTTATATGCACATCTCTTTGTTATGAACAAAAATCATAAAAAATTGTTACAAAGTCGTAAAAAGTCAAAAATTACAAACAGGTAAGAACAGGAGAAGAAAAAACAAGAGGAACTGCGTCCTGACAAGCGTTTAACGCTTTCCATCAATGATAGCCACCTAGGGTTCAGGTTCCCTTCAGTTACGGCAATCTGAAGGATTTCGCGCTCCTTGCCATCTTTTTTTACGATGCCTTTTGGCCCTGTAAACTGGCTCGATTTCCACGTAAATAATAAAAAAAAAAATAAGGAACATTCGATACGTTTTTGTATCTCAGGATGCCGCGAGTCAGTCAAGTTGGCCATCATCCTGGGTCTACACACATGTTAATTAGCCCAAAAGGTATTGGACCACTTCGACTACTGGTCATCCGCTCTCTCTCACGTTCGCAAGGAGCTGTTAAAAAAAGGGACTCCAGGATGCTCTGCAAATTTAGAGGGTATTTAAGGCATGAAGGCAATGAAGGAATCAAGGGAAGTTGTACAATAGTAATTAAATAAAAGAACCAAATTCAAACAATTTTTATTTAAAATAAAAATTATTACGTGAAATATAATATGAGGAAATAAGCCTTAAAAAATATACAAGTTGATACAAAAATATTTACAGACTTTTTTTTGCAAGTCTCTCTATGATATTAACCAACAAAACAATTCCCAGCTCCCCAAACTTTTACCATTTTAAAGGGTATAACCCAGTCGATTTATCTTCTCCAACCCATATTGACTTTGCTGACCGTTTGACTTTTTTATTTGCTTGAACGCGAACACACAGCGTCTTTTTGAGGCCTACTGTGCGTGTCCATAAAAAATATATCCAAAACTATTTGTCGGCTCTCTTTTTTCGGGCCCAAACTTTTCCCTACCTCTTTCGCACTTCGTCCTTGCTGAGAATGTCGTAAAAGAAAATTCGTTGCCGAGAATTACTTAAGTCAATGTAGGCAAAAGATCATAAAATAAAGGCCAAGCGAGTGCAGAAGAGTTGAAACCTGGCAAACAACATTTTTATTGGGGCAGCCGGAAAATATTAAAAAAAAGAGAGAAAAATAGGAAAGGAAAGGGAATTTGGAGAGTACTTGGTAAATTGTTTGAGAAAATAATGAAAAGTGAAATGTCTAATGAAGTCGTAAAGTTTTTGGGTCCTACAAACATGTTGGCATGTGTTTGTTCCTTTAACTGAGATCTCTCTGCCTTTTTTGGGGTTTGTTCTTGTGGGTTTTCTGATTTTACAGATTTTAGTGCATTGATTAATGAGAAAAGGAAACTGAATTTGGGGTAAAAGAAAGTTTATACTCTTCATGGACTAGAACATTTAATGGGATTAGTTTGGGTGAATAATATTATATAAAAGATATATTTATTCACTTAAAGGGTATTATAATTTTAGTCAGAAGCTTGAAAAGAAGTGAAGGAGTCATTTCCGACCCTATAAATCATATATATTCTTGATCAGCAAAAACAGCCGAGTCATTTAGACATATTTTAAAGAAAAATAAATTTTCAAAATTTTATTTCAAATTTTTAAGGGATTAAAATCGTTAAAATTTTGAAACAAAAATTAATTTTTTAAATTTTAAATAAAGTTTGCAGATTTATTAACCTAATAAAAACTAACATGGGAATGCTTTCCGAATTGAATTTGATTCATTTTTGGCTTAGTTCTGATATTTTTAAATTCGATTTTTTGAAAAAATTGTCATATGAAACTATTAATAAATATTGAAGCTTAGTGTTGATAAATTCCGATATTATCATATAATTTACTTCCCAAAGTTAGTTTCCTTTCTTGTTTGATATAACTTTAATTTACAGATTATTGTTTACTGAATTAAAATAATTCGTTTTATATATCTAAGTAAATAATTTCCGAAATTTGTACAATATTTTCTTCACAATTTTGGAAAAGTCATCCTCCCCTTCACACCCTTTCAAAATCTGGAAAATACAGCATTAAGAACCCACCCTCTCTTGCTGTGTTTGGCCTTAATTAATTTTGTCCCTCATTCTTATCAACAGCTTAGCATCTCTTAAAATCCGCTCACAAATTCGCTTGAAATTATAGGAAAATTTCGACTCGAATAAATTGGAGATGGACCAAGGGTAGTTCCGGAAAGCTGCTCCTGCTGCAGCTTGTCCTTGGGCCCAGAATTATTCATGATCCTTTGGCATCGTCTTTCCCCTCTGGTTTTTTACATATCTCCGATGGCAACTTCAATTCAGACTTTGCCTTTGTTTTGGGTAACATGATGAAGCACCGGAATCATCATCATCGATGTTGAGGATGACATTCAATGACATTCCCTGATTCTTATTTATGTCCTTACAGAAATCCTTGGGTTGTTTTTTTGGGTAGAAAAGAACAGAAATCAATTGCGTTGTCTGGCTACCTCGATAAGGAAATATTCCTTAAAAAACATGCGAGGCTAAACAATGGAATTGGGAAAGAAAAAACGCTCTACGCTACGGTATTTTGCTGGCATTTGACACCCCAAAATGTAAGGACACACAACGGCAGGACACACTCAGGTAGTGAGCGTCCTGAGATATGCATATGCTGAATATGAGGCGTATACCTACCCCCAACTGCAGTTTTTTTCCGCTTTTTTATGCAATTTTTAGCATGAAAATTTGTTTTTCCTAGGGGTTGTTGTTAGGGAACTTTCTCTGGGTTTGATATATATTTTTTTGGGAGTTTTATAGCGAGTTTCCTTAATTGCGTTCTTTCTTTTCCTTAGTATTTTTGGGCATACCTAGATCTCCGATTGTGGTTCTTAACGGTTTTTGATTTATTTTTCGCATTTTCCTGAAAAAATAAAGGTATAGGTACAGAGAAGTAGTTTTTTTGAGACTTCTTTAGCGGATGTTTCCCACGAGTTTTAAGGAAAAAATTGAAATCTTTTTACATGCCAGGAGCTGTGATTGCAGCCGAGGACAGTTGCCTAATGAAGTGTGTGTTTAGGGTAATTGGTAAGGATGGAAGAAGGGCCTGAGGAATATTCAAAGATAAATATTTTAAATGCGGGACTTGGGATCCTTTGATAGGAAAATGGATTAACGATCTTTGAGGCGGCTTGGACACTGTCTCCTATAATATTTCATTTATAAATGAGTAGAAATTATAAATATAATACAGATTTATTCTTAAAGGTTCAGCAGCTCTTTACATTTAATATTCGTTTAAGAATTAATTATTTAATCTTTCCATATGTATTCCCCCTTATTTCTTGAATGTTCTCTTTAACTTTAATTTCCATGGTGTGTCCTTTATTTATTTTTGTTGTACTCACCACTTGGGTCCTGCAATTTCAGACACTGCTCTAAATCTCGCACGTCCTTGCCGGCGTTGTTCAAGTGCCCATAGAGCGCAACTGCTGCTCCGGTCAGTCCGAGGTCCTTTTCCTCTCGCTCATCATCATCCTGCTGCAGGTCCAGATCCTGGTTCCTTGCCTCCTCCAGCTCCTCCGCCCCATCCTCTGGCCTCTCCTGCTTCAGCTGCAGAGGCGACGAAGCATTGTTGCTGGCAATCTGAGCTGGATGCAGCCGTTGTTCGGCTCCTTTATCCTTTGGCTGCTCGACATATTCATCACACGATTGCAACTTCAATTCGAGCGTTAGCTTCTTGTCTCCTGTCCCAGCATCCTGCTGGATGGGGGAATGGCAGGATAGCGGCGTACAGGAGGAGGACTTGGTGGAGGAGGAGGAACCAGAAGCGGAGGCAGAGGATGCGAAGGATGCCAGGGAGATGCTGTGATTTGCGCTGACATCGCGCATATTTGTGTCAACAGCAGTCAAAGTTCCGACTTTGTTCTCCCCGGGGCTCGTTAGGATGCCTTCATCCACAGTCGGTGGATTTGGTTCGAATTTAAAGTCACCAACTGCAAGAAAGAACAAGGATAATTGATGACGTTTATGTTATTGACTTGGAAAGTAAATTGTGTTAAAAAGTTACTTGTTTAGGAAAACCTGTGCAACAATCGTTCTATGATACTTACACCATTTTGTAGGCCTTGTTATACATTCAAATCTCCAATCCAAGAACCAATCACAAAACACAAATCGCTATCTCTCAAAGGGTTGACTGCCGGCTATTTACATAAGCCTTTCGTTATGGAATCACAGCAACCCTTTTTTTATGCAACTCCTCCCAACCCCCTGTGCCATTTGAATAAGCTTCACTCTCTCTGGTGGGCCATAAAAAAGGGGTTGATTTACATAAAAAACGGGCTGGCAAAGAGTCATGCCTTCATTTTAATATTTGCCCCTAGGGGATGACGACCCAATACGCACACTCCTGGAAATATGCTGATACCGTCATATTTTCCTGGAATGGGGGGAAAACCAGGCAGTCGTGGGGGGGGGACTCTTAAAAAAGCAACCAACCGGGAACAGTTCATTGGCTGAAGTGCCTCCGCACGGCATGTGGGCCAGAAAAAAGTAAAGAACAGAGAACGGGGAAAAAATGAAAAATATTTTCATGGCAAGGCGTTGAAATGTCGCCGGGTAACTGATGCTTGAAATAACGGCAGGACATCACCATTCTGTCCTTATTTCAGCTCCTGTTGCTGGGTAATTTCTCTGAGCTAAGGAATGCCACTAAAAATGAGTCACATGGATGAATTTGAAGTGTGAAAGTTTCGAGAGGGGTGAAGAAATTAAGGGGAGGAAAGAGATTTGAGGAATTTAGAAGAGTTTAAGGACTAAATTTATTAAATACTTTCAGTACAGTTCAGTAATGGATAGATTAACTCCAAATCCTTTAAAAATTACCACAAGAAAATGCCTAACAATCTTCTTAAACAAGAGAGAAAGCAAAGATGTCTTTTAAAAGCATCTTTTGCAATCTAACAAATTTCCAGGACATTTTTTGTCATCCAGTTCTTATCTCAAAGTATTTAGAGGCTGTGGTATTTAAGGATTTCAATTCTCGCCTGAGTAAACAAATCCCAGCCTGTTGCGCAACCTGAATATCTCAAAACAAAAGTATATAAAGAAGGTAAAACTTCTGAAGGCAAGCCGCAAGCAGGGATAAATAAAATGATGAAGGATATCAGCAACTACAAACGAATTGCAGCATTAACCAGAAGCCAACAAAGACGCTGAAAATATTAGATTTTTACCGTTTGACAGCGCATTTCGATTGCACAATTACGAGGAAGCGGCAGCACCGAAATAAAAAGGATCCTCCCACAGTCATAAATATGTGTCAGCTCGGTTCTTTTAATTAAGTACGAGCTATCAAAGGATCGGACCTGCCCGAGATCGATGTCCTTCCATCTCACTCTTTTACTCTGCCTGCGAACCAGGTGTAAGCGGAATCAAAGGAGGTGTTGCTGGAGTAGATCCTGTGCGCCGCAATACAGGAGCAGGCAATCGTGGGAACTGCACATTGCGCAAAGGACAATGCAACTCAACTCTCACCTCAACCAAGTGCAATTTGGCTTTTGTCTCCCAGTGAAGAAAAAAAAATAAAAACTGGAAAATGCACTGCTGCACCCGCTGCGTATTTCGGCACACAAAGTGTGTGTAACTGTAACACACACACACTGGCCAAAGAAAATGATGAGGAACCCGGTTGCATGGACAAAAGAGGGAGAATCTCAAGGAATCTGAGGGAATCTCGGGGAATGATGAACACTGATCACTGCCAAACTGTGGTCCATTGTGATCACTTGGCTACGCACCAGAAAAAAGATGCGAAACAAAACGAAGCTGTGGCACAATGAACCAACTGATTATTGTTGCGACTTTTGCTCTTTTGTGTTTACTTCTTTTTGGCGAAACATGAATTTATTGCCTTTGCTTTTGCGACTTTTTATGCAGTATCTCAAAAGTATTACAATATTAATGGCATGTTTGAAACGGCACAGCGGGATGTCTATATATAGAACTAGATCGGAGTAAAATATTGAGGTTTTTATTTATAAAAATTACGGGAATACTTTTAGAAAATTGTGTATGGGTTTGTTTTCTAAAAAATCTATCGTTTATATTTCTTTATATTTATTTTGGGACGGTAGTCCATTACATTTTCTTAAATAAAATATATTTAATATATAGACAGAACTCATTAATATAAATGGCTTTTATAATAGTTATAGTTTATTATTAAGCATTGTTTGGTATATTTTTCTTCTTATTTATTTAATTATATATTTTTATTTTAAGGAGTATTGGATGATTGATGAATATGCATTACTTATCATTGCTTTATTATAATCAGGTATGTACTTAAACTGCATTTATTTATTGCATGTATTGAAAAAGTATAATTTAAACTTAGTTTTATAAACTTAAATTACTTAAAAATTAATGTATATATTTATTTTAATTATTCACCCCCTGAATTAATTTTAATTTCATTTTAGCTATAATCTCTCTCCATTTTGTCAAATGATCTCTTCGTTCGCTTTCCCCTTTGCGAATCCGCCCAAATCATGTCCGTACACTGGCAGAAATATTTACCAAACGTTTATCTCTCATTTAAATAACGGTGCGCATGCGCAGCTCCCCCTCTTGACTTACTTCTCTCTCGCTCTGTTTAATGCGATGTTGGCACGCAACTCGCATTTCCTTTTGCATACACTGAGCACAATTAGCGCTGTTAGCTGTGCGTTCGGTGTGCGCCCCTCGCTGCGCATCGTCCTCGTTTCCAGCGCCCCCGCTTTTTACACGCCTTTCTACACTTCGCTGCTTGTTTGCATAAATTTCGTGCCAGGCACCTGTCGCTGTCCCGCTCCTGCACTCGCACTTTGCATGTGCATCCGCTCGAGACGCCGCGCAGTGGTGATTTTTTTCGCGTTTTGTAATTGCAGTTATTTGGCCCCAAGTCGCGCATTATAAAAGCAAACAGCAACAAAAAATGGTCTTAAATTGCGTAAATTCATAGTAAATATATATATTTATATTTAATTTTTATTTCTATTGCATTTACATTTTTCAAATGAAGTGAAAATGTGTTTGGCAAGCCTGCAATTACAGTCGGAAATTTCAATTACTGTCTGTGGAAATTATATACCTTGGTTCTTCTTATGCTTGAATTTGTGAAATAAATTATTTATTTTAGCTTGATGTGGATTTATGAAGTGATTGAAAAATAATTGCTAGGGTTATGGTTATTAGAGTAAAGGAAAGAGTATATAATAAAAATGAAATTAGTATTCTTTTATTAAAAGAAAATTATATTAAAATATTTGTAGCTATTGAAGCTGAAGTTTATTCAACCTGATTTGCAATCGGAAATATATATAAATATATATAATTCAAAAATTCGGAAAGCTTTTTTATGTTTTTTTTTTTTATTAGTTTAATAAATCTGCATACTTAATAAAAATTCAAAAAAAAAATTAAAATGTTTGTCAAATTTGTTTGATAATTTTAACCTACATAAAATTGTGAAAAAATTAAAAAAATGTCTGGCTGAGATGGCTAGATTGATTCGGCAGTTTATGCTGATCAAGAATATATATGATTTATATGGTCGGAAATGGTTCCTTCACAGCGTTCCAAGCCCTTGACTAAAATTAGAGTTTAAAAAATGGTTTCCTTTTTCCATAAAAATTTCCCGAATTCTCCACCCTTTCCCACGCTAAAACCCCGCAACATTTTCGCACAGTTTTAATGGCTTTCCTTTTTCCATTCTTTTGCAATTTAAAATCAGTATTTTTCCAAGAAAACACTCGATTTAATGCTGGTGGCAATAAAATCCGTTTATATTTTTCTGCCAAAAATACGTTACAAAAATTGTGAGAAAAATGTAATTTCAAGAGGTTAAATGTCACTTAAGCGGATTTTCCTCACCCTGAGTTCCTTTTTCGGGCAATTACTTGCCCAAAATTTTTGGTACATTTACTTTTTTTATCAATTTTTGAGCGCGCAAAACCATCGAGAAAATTTTTAATGGCAGCTGCTCGTGGCTCAAAAAGGGGTGGAAAGGGGCGATTGTAAAATGTGGGCATGGCCCACCCAAAAATAAAAGAAACAGAAAATCAAAAACTATAGATGTACGTGAATATTCAACCCCATTTTGCATGCAACTTGCAGGCCACATAATATGAATGATAAGCAAAATAATAGAAACAAATAGTTTCGAAACTCCCGAGGGCCAATAAAAATAGGTTGGAAAATTACAAAATGGATGGGTGCCAGCAAGGACAGACAGGAGAGATATCATTGTGCTGATCACGCAGTGAAAAATAAAAAATACAAAAAATAAAATCGAAAGCAACGCGTGCTGGAAAAAGGATGCGCCTCTGTCGAGCGTGCTGCGCATGCGCGCCTTGTTTGTTATTGTGTCGCCGTTGTGTAACCCAATCCTCGGATCCTTTTAACCCTAAAGGGACCCCGCTTTAAAATCGAGTCTCGTGAGTGAGTGTGTGTCGTCGTTGTCGCTAAATGTGGCGGAACTTGCAGCTTCCAATGGCATCGCATTTATCATCATTAAAGGCGGCGGCCTGCCGTCTATCGAATATCCTGCATCCTTTCACTTTTGTGCCAAAGGCTTGTGGCCACTGCGGGTCGCAGCTGCTCTCCCTCCTCTCCATCGTCTCTGTTTGTATAGAAATTAAATTTGACATGCAAACATTTTCACATTTTCCCCCTTCAGTTGGGGGAGTCTCGCATGTCCTGCGAAAGGATTTCACTGGGTTTTCTATTCAAATACAAGCTGTCGTCGCATTGACAACTTCCCTGTAACACGATACACGAGAGTGAAAGTAATTTGCGACAAATTTCCACTCATTTTCCCTGTTCATTTCCACTGGCAGACACACAAAAGTGAAAGCCATGCAAATGCCTTTAACAGATGTTTTCGACTTTTGCACATTGCCAATGGGTTTCGTCTGGCGATATGTCTGCGATGTATATACAAACATATATG